AGCAGCAACAGCTCCTGCTGCGGCTTCAGGCTCCGCAGGCGCTGCCGAAGTGCTGCTGCTGCGCGACTTGCTGCTGCTGCTGGTGCTGCTGCTGCTGGAGCTGCTGCTGCTGCAAGCGCCGCAGGCGCTGCGGAAGTGCTGCTGCTGCTAGATTTGCTGCTGCTGCTGCTGCAGAGATACTGCGACGGAGACCCAGCAGCAACTTCTGCTGATTCTGTCTCCCAAGCGCTTCGTCTTCTGCGCATCACAGGTACGGCCGCGGCTGCTGCTGCTGCTGCTGCTGCTGTGTGCTTCGCTTTGCTGCTGCTGCGTGCCTCTCCTTGCTGCGGCTGCTGCTGTGTGCCTCAATTTACTGCTGCTGCTGCGTGAATCTCTCTGCTACTGCTGCTGTGTGCTTCTCTCTACTGCTGCTGCTGCTGCTGCTGGTTTTGCTGCTGCTGCTTGAAATACATCTGTCTTCTTTGCATTTAGCCGCAGCAGCTTAGGGTAGTTCCCTATTCATTGCATCTGCTTCCGTTTTTGCTGCTGCTGTTTCTGCTGCGGCTGCTGCTGCTGCTGCTGCTGCAGATTGCTGCTGAGATTTGCGCCCTTGAAGATGGCAAGACAGCTGACGCTTCTTGGAGTGCAGCAGCAGCAGCAGAAAACTTCCCCCTTAAGTCATGGCTGCAGGCGCGCGGTGTGTTAGCAGCGGGAGCTGCTGCTGCTGCTGCTGCTGCTGCTGTTGCTGTTTGTGGTGGGGGTGTCGGAATGGTGCACATCCTGCTGCCTCAGCTTCTCTCGCTGCTGCTGCTGCTGCTGCTCTTGCAGCTGCTGCTGCTGCTACTGGTCTTGCAGCTGCTGCTGCTGCTGGTCTTGCAGCTGCTGCTGCTGCTGGTCTTGCAGCTGCTGCTGCTGCTGCTGTTTTCTGCGGTCCGCTGCAGACTTGTGCTGCACAGAAGATATTGAGGCGGCGAATTTCAGTGAGAGGCGCGATATTCTCGGTGAGCAGCGCTGCTGCTGCTGCTGCTGCTGTTGCTGTTGCTGTTGCCGCTGCTGCTGCTGCTGCTCTTTTTGCTTTACTGTGGACTGAAAGTGCTGCTGCTTTTTCTTATTCGCTGTTTACTCTGCTGCATTTTCGGTTGGTAGCACTTTTGCTGCTGCAGTACACGCTGCTGCTGCTGCTGCTGCTGCTGCCAAGCGTGCCTCTGCTGCTGCTGCGACCAAACGCGCTTCTACTGCTGCTGCTGCTGCCCAGCCAGACACGCTGCTGCTGCTGCTACGGGTGCAATCTGGCGTGCTGGTGTAGCTGCAGACTGGCGCGAAGCTGCTGCA